CATAAGCCTACTTTAAGCCGGCACATTCCTAGAACCCTGAGATTAAGAGTTTCATCTAAATTTATAACCCTACTTATTTGTACAATTTGACTAATAAAAGGTTTATATGTATTCATCATTGTAAACCCTGGACATTTATTTATTACTTATTTACCAAACAAAGGTTAAAGAACTTTACAGGCGATAGTTGATTATAAATATAAAATTGGCTGATAACGGAACTAAAGGACGTGTAACAGTTATATCACACTTCTAAATTAAAACTGAGGCTTACCATAGGCCTATCAAATATTTAACCCCGTTTTACAGCAGCAATGTCTCATATTACTGACACATCAACTGCTGCCTGTTTCCCTATAGCAGACAGATGTTGTAAATCATAGTGTAGCCAAGGGGTTGTCGGGTATTGTGTGAAGGCAATGCCCTTATACCCGAACTGAACGAACGCTCTGCCACCCCCCATGTTCTGTCATTTCACTTTCTCTTTTTCTCTGAGCACATTTTGCAGTTTTTATTTGCTTTGGGCGTTTTGTGTGGTCGTTATTTCAAGCTCGTTCACTAGTTTCAAAATGTTAGGTGGATGTATTCTACTATACTTAATAGATTAAAATTTCATTGTGATATGTGGATAAATCAATTTATTAATTTATTGATAAAATATCACACTTTCTTAATTCCAATTAAATATTTGATTATAAATTCTTACAACAAAACATTTACAACATGACGGGTTTGATTACGCAAATTTGTATTTAAGTTATTCTCATCGGCGTTTTAAATTTGATTTGATAGGAAATTGACACATATCTACAGGACATCTTTTTTATCAATCAAATTCACTAACCACTAAAATATCACGATAAATATAAGGATACGAGTCCCTTTCTAATATCTCAGATTCTTAGCGAAGCAGTTAAATTAATGATCAGTCGCGCTTCACTTCTAACAACACGAATTCGAGGCGAGCGGGAAGCGGATGTGCAGTTCCGGCAAGTCACGTGGGCGCGGGTAGCATGGCTCAGCTGTCGGCTGTCTGTACATTGCGTCGTAACAGCAGACAGCACCATGTTTTCATTGCCCGCCACATCGTGGCAGCACCTACTGGTCGGTGACGTCAGCGCTATGATCGCCCCTTCCCGCCAGAGTGTGCTGATTGCTTGTTCACAACCAAATGCATGGGGCTTTCAATCTAGTAGTGTTATATAGTCAATGCTACTAGATTAGAAATGCCATATTCTGCTATGTTTTAAAACCAATATCCATAGGCCTTAAGCCCTAATTTTTGTTTTAAGTACTGGCACTGGGTACATCATTAGGTAACTCGGTAAGGTTGCTTTTTATAAATGGATCATTTCATGAATCACTAATACCCTATATCTAGGTGTGTTCAGTACATAATGAAACTCTAAAAAAAGTACTAATCCTAACCCAAATAAAATATAGGTAGCTTTAAGCCTACAGAGGATGAGTGTTTATATTACTTCTCTGTGGTGTAAGTTATGTATGCCTTAAGATGGCTATAAGTTTAGGACTGGATATTAAATAAACTCCCAATTAACTTATAGGCCTAACCTATTATTTGTCAGTGTCAATAAAATAGTGCAATTAGGCCTTTATCGAGGACAGCCAAACTTGGATATACAACCATGTTTATACCTAAGATTCCTTTTTGGTACTCACCAACATGGATCAACCCGGGAAACGTTTACCCCTTAGTCGAGCTAGACCTAACCTATGTGGCTTAGCTACAAAACTTTACTTAAATAGGTTATACGTTTTCAAACTGAGCTAAGTTTGGCAAATTGATATGATATAACATATCCCAAGTTAAAGCATGCGTCGCATGTCATAAAATGATGCAAACCGACAAATGTCACCAGCTCGAAATTTCTCTGGAGAGTGGAGGCTATCTATTGTATTTTAAGCATTATAGCCTATGTTTCTGTACCCAAGACTGTGATGATTTTGAAAAGTGTGTAGGGATTGGTCTCCTAAACTGCCTAAAAAGTTTTAAAATGTTTGTGTTGCAGCGTGTCGTGTGTCGACAAATGTTACAAAACGACAAACGTCAACAATTGAATTTGCTCTGGAAGCTATCTATCCTTAACACGTTCAGTGCGGAATACCTTCAAACAGGCGCTCGATAATGGCGGCGAGGCCCGGGCGAAGCCCCGCAGCGCAACTGAATCGGTGAACGCAATTGGCATTCAAATATTTCAGTCTGACGAATAAAAAAAGAGCAGCGGTGATTGTGCTGTGTTAGCCCGAGAGTGGACGTAGTTCACTGAAACACCCAAAGGTAGCAGCACTGCCTGGATTCGTAGCCAGTGTCTTTGTAAAGTGGCTCGAAAAGAGAAAATTGCCGGAACCGGGACAAAAGTATTGCTAGACGGGATTTTACGGGTAATTTTAGTACCAACCTACACCAGACTAAAGCTACATAATCTAAGCTACAGGCTGGCAACGATTATAACGTTCCCCGGCAATGGCTGAGCTCACACTAAACTAATGTGGAGAGAGTGGCATGACGTCAGCTTTAGCTGATGTCCGCCACCAGTGCTAGTGTCGGACATCATCTATTGATGATGCCCGCACTCAACGTGTTAAGCATTATAGCCTATATTATCTTAGTCCAGGAGCTGAGGGGGTTTGAGCATGCATGAAAGTAGTACGCAATGTTATTGCTGATTATTGTAATATGGACTGTGGTGATCAAAATTACGTATGTCGCCTATTTCAAAAGTGGTCGATAAGGTGGGGGGGAGGGGGCAAACATGGCGGTTTGCGCTATGCGTTAAAACGCTGATAGTTCGAAAACGGTAAAAGATAGAACATCGGTTAAAACGTCGTTGGAATTCTAAATATGTGGACAACAATAATAGTTATTGGGTCCGAGGTCGTATCTCTATAAATAAACAAGTTATTGTATAAAATATGTAAAAATGGACTTTTCGTGTAGTTTTTTTAACCGAAAGTAGAATTAATTTGTGAGTGTCGCAAAGAAGTAATATCAAATATCTTTGCTGATAGTTGTAATATGGACTGTGGTGATAAAAAATACGCATGTCGCCTACTTTTCAGGTGGTCGAGAACTTGGGGGGAGGGGGGCAAAGATGGCGGAACGCGCTATGCATCGAGACGACTGTAGCTCGAGAACGGTACGAGATAGGACATCGGTTAAAACATAGTTTTAATCCAAAAAATATTACCAATAGAAAATGTCATTGGGTAAAAAGTTGTATCTTAACTAATAAAAAAGTTATAACAATAATAAGTTTAACAAAATCTACATCGTACAGCTATTTTTTCGAAAATCGTATGGATTGTTGATAAATAATAGTGTAATTCCTTAATTACTCGGCTATATATTAACTAGATGCATTTTCTTATAAGAAAAAAATATATTATTACGAATACATTTGGTTTAAAATGTAAAACACGGCCTCCAAACTACGTATAATACTTTGGGGTTTCGCCGCAATCAAATGCATAATACAGATTACCACTACAAATCCAATTTTAATTATTATAAAGTTGTAGGTTATTATAATATGATTATGTAACAGATTCTTATTCAGTTATGCCAGTTATTCAGTTCTTATTAACAGTTGTGCCGATATCAGCAACACTGCGCAGCAATTATGACGCAACCTATCGGACGAACCCCAAGGCGTTGGGAGGCCGTGTTTTACATTTTAAACCAAATGTATTCGTAATAATATATTTTTTTTCTTATAAGAAAATGCATCTAGTTAATATATAGCCGAGTAATTAAGGAATTACACTATTATTTATCGACAATCCATACGATTTTCGAAAAAAATAGCTGTACGATGTAGATTTTGTTAAGCTTATTATTGTTATAACTTTTTTATTAGTTAAGATACAACTTTTTACCCAATGACCTTTTCTATTGGTAATATGTTTTGGATTAAAACTACGTTTTAACCGATGTCCTATCTCGTACCGTTCTCGAGCTACAGTCGTCTCGATGCATAGCGCGTTCCGCCATCTTTGCCCCCCTCCCCCCAAGTTCTCGACCACCTGAAAAGTAGGCGACATGTGTATTTTTTATCACCACAGCCCATATTACAACTATCAGAAAAGATATTTTATATTACTTCTTTGCGACACTCACAAATTAATTCTACTTTCGGTTAAAAAAACTACACGAAAAGTCCATTTTTACATATTTTATACAATAACTTGTTTATTTATAGAGATACGACCTCGGACCCAATAACCATTATTGTTGTCCACATATTTAGAATTCCAAAGACGTTTTAACCGATGTTCTATCTTTTACCGTTTTCGAACTATCAGCGTTTTAACGCATAGCGCAAACCGCCATGTTTGCCCCCTCCCCCCCACCTTATCGACCACTTTTGAAATAGGCGACATACATAATTTTGATCACCACAGTCCATATTACAATAATCAGCAATAACATTGCGTACTACTTTCATGCATGCTCAAACCCCCTCAGCTCCTGGACTATCTGTAGGCATACACAAGAGTGCGATGACTTTAAGTGTAAAGGGTTTTTCTCCTAAACTAGGCTAGGCTACCTACATTTTTGTGTAAATAGGCCTAAGTAATACAACTAAACCAAGCCAAAACAAAAACTAAATAACATGAAATATTTGTCAATGGAAACCCCAATCAAGGGTTGCAAAAGATTCTTCAAGGTTAAAACTACTCATTATCCAATCCTAAAGTGTCTTTGTATAGATAAAATAAATACTTAACTCTTGATTTGATGTCAATCAATATTTTCATTAATTATGCCATATACACCGTAACAGTGTTGTTATTAGGACAATTTGTTCTATGAAAGCGTGTTACATAAGTTATTTTAAATTAAAGCTTAAATTTATTATTATTTATTCTTTAATGTATAGTTTCCCGAGCAAAGCTCGGTGCCCAGGTACTGTATGTTTTATTTGGGCAGGGCCAACAACTGTTTTTTGTCTTGTACCTGTATCACTTTGTCCTTCCAGGTTTGTGGAGAGTCATTCTCAAGAGAGGAACACTTGGTGATGCACTCGAGGTTCCACGGAGGTCTCAGCCCCTACAACTGTCCTGACTGCGGGGCCGGGTTCTTGCGCAAGTTTGAGCTGGTGAATCACGAGCGACAGCACGGCCGCAACCCTGAGTCCTGCCCCCAGTGTGGCAAAGAGTTTCTGCAGAAACGCACTCTGCTGGTGCATATGCGCTCCTGCAATGGCAGTGGACCTGTCAATCAGCAGTCCTTCTCACCCACCAGGTGAACAATGAGAACATTGCCTGTGTTTTAGATTAACACTCATTTCTCCTTTGATCTGTTACTAAACAAATCAGATATTAAAAGCAATAATAATATTTTTCAGATTCAATGAGAGTGGTTCCCCTCCTAGATTTACTGATAGCTCTCCAACAAGATTTAACGATGGAATTAACCAGCGGTTTCCAAACAATAGTAATTCTTCTCCGAGATACTCTGAAAACAGCAGTAGCCAGTTCAGGTTCCCTGAGGGCCAGATCAGGTTTAACAATGATAACACACCCTCACCTTCTACTGTACCTTCAATGCAAGCCCCAAAAGACAAAGTTTGCAAGTAAGTGTTAATATTTAGTTAACCTGTTAAATTAATTACAACCTTATAGGTAAAATTAACGTTTTACTCATAATAATAGCTTAGTCAGTAAACATCTATACAAGTTTAAAGCCAACGTAGACATTATATTTTTTGAAATTAGTACCTACTCCAAACATAACATCCACTTAAGTTTGAGCTTTAAGCAGGAATCAATTGATTTTCGGGAGGGGGTTTGGAAGAAACACATGCAATATCATTGCAATTTGGAAAATTCAAAGTGTTAGTCATAGAGAGTGTAAAACTACTCTTTTTACTTTTTGTTAAAATAATAATAACAACAAAACTCAATGTTGAACAAATACCATATGTGGAAAGGTAGCGAAAAACCTTGTATTAACAGTAGAGTCTCGATTATCTGACCTAAATCCGTGGCAAGGTCGGATAGGATAAGTGAATAGATTGTGAGCGTTGGATATGCTGAAAATTTTATTGTGTTATGATCGCGGGAGATGTTCAAGATGGTGCCATGGCCACAAGACATTTTGAAGAAGCGCCGTTCTCGCGGAATATCTTGACAATCGTGTGGCGAATGTGGGACATGTTGAGGATGGTGACGTGATCGTGAAATCTATTAACACTCACGCTGTGACCGCAGGATGTGTTGACAATCGCACCGTGAGCATGGGATATGTTGACAATGGTTCTGTGATCAGAGAGATGTTCAAGGTGGCGCTTCGACTGCGGGGCGTATACAATCACATCTCGAGCGTGGAACATGTTGTCGTGATCGTGGGAGATGTTTGAGGTGACCCCATAACAGATGATTGCCCATGAAGGTCGGATAACCGATACTCTACTGTACCATTATGAAATAAATTCAGGCATTCAGTAAATGGCTTCGTTACTATGTTTAATTTTATGTTTCATCTTGAACTCTTGAGTTGAATGAATTTATGATGAGGGAGTTTTATTTTTTTCAGGGAGTGTGGGGAAACTTTTGCAAGTGTTGAAGGACTTGCTCTACACTTACGTTTACACTTTGGGGATCACAGTTTCCTAGCTGACATTTGTAGTTTAGCTGCGTCTTTGAAACAAACTGCAGTCAATGTTGTAACCAGTCTTAAGAAGACACATATTTGTAGCGACTGTGGCCGTGGATTTACTCAAAGACATGGTCTGTTCCAACACAGACAACGACACGCCAACGGAAGTTGCAAAGAAAAACCCTTTGCATGTGAAAAGTGTGGTAAGAGTTTTGCGCAGAAAAATCACCTCATGCTTCATGAGAGACAACATATGGATTTACCATCAAGAAGTACAAAAAACAATCAAAAAAGCCTCCAGCGCAGGTCAGATAGTGTGGAGCAGATGGATACATCTAGTAACTCTGGACAACAGATAGAGCAGAATCATCAGGGAGAGAGAACCACACAGAGCTCAGACATTATAATGCAGAATCACTCTGATCATCAGAGGGTCGATATGTTAAATATGCACTCGTCAAAGCCATCCGATGGCACTTCACAAAACGAGAAGGGAAACATTATGATGATGCAGACCAACCATTCCGATCTCCAAAGAGACTTGTTGAACCGACACAGTTCAGAATCTTCGAGCGACAGGAATTCACAGATGCATCAAGATCTTATAAATAGGCATACTTCTGACTCGACTGATAGTACCTTACAACCTGACCATCAGCGAGAACTGTTAAACAGACATCCTTCAGAATCTTCAGCAGAGAGGAGTATGCAGATGCAGCAGGCTCATGCGGATAGTCATCTGATCAGCCGACACAGTAACAATCCAGTGCCATTAATAAGGATGCACAACCGAGTGAGTCAGAGTGGGTTACAACAAGGCTCTAGCAGTCGGTCAATGATAACTCACCACCATCACATGGGTGGAGCTCAGAGCTCAGAGCAAATCATGCCTTGTCTGCACCCCGTGCCTAGTAAACAGTATTAGCCATAGCTTAGTACTTGTCATTCTAAGCAATAAAAAAGTAGTTAAAATAGAGTGTACATTAAAGTATTGTTGCATCATGAAAAAGAATTGTTAAAAATCCATATCGTAACAAAATAAGTACGGGACTGATTGCTCTAAAGTCACAATTCCTGTTTTAACCCTTTGAACTCTATTGATTATTTAATGATTTGACTATACCTATTTTAATAATGTTTCACCTCATATAATCAACTATAAAATCCAAATTATTTCAAAACAAGAGAATGGTAGACTCACACACACAAAACAAGGGTAGTAAAATGTAAGATTTGAGGCAACTCGCAAAAAATTCACCCATCCTGTAAACTTCTATCTTCTATCCAATCCGCTGTTTATTTTAGGTGGGTGTCTCTTCCCACCAAGCTCTGCCACAATATACTGTGTTGTCAGAGAGAACCCTTAGATTGCTCAGCCTGTGATCTGACCCTTTAGTGTTGTATAGGCCAACCATAATGGTCTACCGAAATCCCAAGCTTAGTAGTTACGGACTAGCTTGCACTGATGAAAGTACAAGTTTGGTTATGTTAGTCTTGGGTCCCATAATATATCATAGGATAGCGTTCAAATGGTTAACCAACAAACCTAGTTTGTTCTCTTCCATAGTATGTGGGTAGTGGGGAGTGGAAGATAAAATCAGAACTTCCTCTGGCAGCTTTAAACAGCCAATAATTTGGAATGTATAATTTAAATTATAATTGTCTAATGTCATTAGACTCATGTAGTCATTGAACACCCAAAGTCATTTAAACAGCACATTCTTATATATTTTTGTAAAAACAGATACAACATGGCAAGTGCAAATGTACCTAACTAGTTATTAAAATGATTAATCTGATGATGGTTCTCAGAATAATTTCGATTGAACCAGTGGGTTTGTTTGTAAGTTTTGTCGCTTAAAAAATCAATATTTTTTAGAGTTTTAATACCTTGAAAAGTTGCTAAATTATAAGACCAAAACAGGAAAAAATAAAAAAAGATCGGTTGTTATGTTCCGGTTGTGCATGTGCTCTAAAGTTTGAAAAAAAAAATTAAGATTTTTATTTTTTTTATTTTTAATATGTAATACAGTACCTAGTTGAAAATATCATCTACAAGACTAAGGAATTTAAATTTAAATTATGGTATTGTATGTTACGATCTTCTGGTCGTGCATCAACTGCAAATATTGCAAAAGTCAAGAAAAATGTCATTTTGTACTAGTCTTATTTAAAATATAATTATTATGAATATCAAAATGTAATACTGAAAATCTGTGTGTACACATTCAGATAGTAACTTAAAAATCCAACTGAAAACGTCCGAATTGATCTTCCAGTTGCACATAGCAATACAATAATTCACTTGAGCGCGGAACTGTTTGGTCAGTGACCCACACGACGTCATGTGATAAGTTTCCGAAATTGAAAAACAGGATGGTGATGATAATGTATCCTTGTGCTCACCCTTCTAAAATTGACGATTCTAGTGACAGCATAATAGAGAGTAGGCTATTTTCAATACTCTAAAAATTACTCTCTAATGAGCCAACTATTTTTTGTGGCAAAACAAGTACAAATAATGCATTACTAATTCCTATATATGAAACTATGGCCCATTTTTACCCCATAAACCCCTGTTCCCATAGTCTGATCATGCTGGTTTTTCTAATTTGTTTATTGTAGGTTTACACATTTATACCAAATTTCATCAAAATCAGATAATTTTTTTATATAATAGTCTAAACAGGAGATTTTCATTAACACAAGCAATAAGTATGATTGAGATTTTGTAAGCGTATGTAACTTTTTTTACATTAGATTGTTAGACCCACATTATTCTCCACCAAGTATTCTTGTCCTGTTGTGAAGCACAGCAGAACAACTTAGTTCATTAATTTAAAGCCCAATGATCAGGGACAGCCGGGTCCAGTTTCAAACCATCAAAAAGCTACTGACTTTACTCAGGATTGTACCGGCAACCTTTTGATTGTTAGGCAAGGTCTAAAACCACTCTGTCTACAGTGTAGGCCTATGTGAAAATTATTGTGAAACAACAACTCGGCAATTTGTGAACCCAGAGGTTGTCAAGTTATACAGAACAATAAAATTTTTAATAGGTTTTAAATCGAATACATAACAGACTACTTTTTACTTTGGAGAAAGTATTTGTTTCGTCAAAATTTTTGAGTTTTGAGTGGATATATCCATTTTGGGCCCCCCTGAACCCAAAAAAGTGGTTTTCGAAGTGTGTGTGTCTGTATGTGTGGATGTGTACAGAGCTACAGACCACACCCGTAGTCCGATTTTGATGAAATTTGCTATGTAGGTACTAGTCAATGGTATCTCCATGTGTTTTTTTTTCATTTTTTTTATTTTAGCAAATTTCACATATAGGGAATAAGCTATTACCGTAGGTCTCATGGTAAGACCTAGACGCAGGACCGATTTACTTTTTCGTTTTGAGATCCCCAGAGGCCAAAAACACCCTCCGTTCAAATTCGTATATATTTATATACATGTGACCATTAGCGAGATAACTCAAGCAAAAATGATCCGATTTTAATCAAAATTTGGTACTAACATGTAAACTTAGTTTATTTGAATGAGTTAGCAAACCAGCATGATTGGACTATGGGAATGGGGGTTTTATGGGGTAAAAATTGGATTTCCCATTTTTGACATTGAAAATCAAAATTTCACAATTTCCAAACCATTTTGTAGGGCTTAAAAAAAGAAAAAAAATTTAATTCAAAATTCCCACATTTTTCTTATGGAGAATAAAAAAACTTTTGTAGTTTGCTGGTTTATGGATGTATTTTAATCAAATTTGGCAATTTTGTTTATTTCATACTTATGTTTATATTTTCACATATTGAGTGAGTAAATGATCTTCAAAGAAATTTTGAATATACTAAATGTTCTGAAAAAAGCCTCTGTACATCCTGTTCGCTGTTGACTCTCGAATTACCGGGTGTTGAGTTAGTGGGGTTTTACTGAACAGGTTTTTAGGATAAAAAGTATTATTAGTATAAGCAGGTCATGTTGATCATGTAGAGATAATAAAAATAACAGTCAATCATAATATTTTGAATTGAGTTGTACAGCCATAATTAAACTAGTTTTAGATACTATTTTATTATATCACTAAAAATAAAAAATAAATTGAACCTATAAAAAGGCTGCTTTGGCCTTTTTAGTAAACAAGATTAGTAAAACAATTAAATTGTTATAAGTTTATGAGACCACTAATTGTAAAACTTGAACTTTTCATAAGATGTTGAAAAATTGGGTCATTTTAAAAAGTTGAATAGTGCTACTGATTGGCCAAAACTTCTGTGCGGGTCGCTACTAGCCACACTAAAACATACAGGTTATTGGCACTGCTAGAGGTAGGAGTGAGTGAGTCATGATAAAGGTAGCAAGACACAAATGTTTTCACAAAAGTATCCCCTCGCCAAGACTTGACCAGATCTGACCACACTCACATAAATTTTGGCCAAACTGTCCTGGAAAATTTGCTATCTCTACATTAACTTAGGCTTTTTTAAATGACAAATTATAACCAATGAAGTTCATATCGACTTAACTGTAATTTTAATGACACACTTCAAACAATATTATTATTACTCTTACTATGACATTTTAAGAGCCCTTGGATGTTAGCGACCATCGTGGATACTTACAAACAGCTGCTGAAGAGTTATTAATCATTAAAAAATAAACACCAAAGTGATCATAGTTTATATCTAGGACACTGTAAGATTATAAATTTTCTTTGTAGTTTTGAATTTTCTTCCAAGGGAGTCCATTAAAGCTGACAGAAATCTTGGATTTGCCTGCCATAAGAGCAATGTTAATTTTGTTAATTTCAAACAGCCACTAAAGAGGTATTCACTATCTCAACATGTTTTTTTAAACACAAGAGTGATTGTAATTTAAATATCTAGTGCACTGTGGGATAAGAATGTTCTTTTCAGTTTTTTTAATTGTTTTATGTGTTGAAACATCTAACGTCTAGGCTCCAAGGACTCTTTAGACAATATTGCCAGCTAAGCAATTAGTGTCACAGATTTTGCTGGTAAAGGGAGGAGAAACTCCCCTGAGTTTCCTAAGTTTGTGGTAGAATTAAATGTTCTACCTACTGTATGAAATAATAGGTTGTACTGTACATCTAATTATGAAACAAATATAAAACTAAATAACTTCTTGATCAGCATTGTACGTGTTATTAAATTTACGGAAAGTAAATAAAGATACGTCTTATAACACTTAAAACATATATTTACGCTTATACTGTTACTCACAAGACGGTAAATATACAAAAGATGGTAAGTGGTGATCGATTTCGATTGGACACTCCAATCATCATCAGGCCCAATAGGCGAATGGATTCGCATTGGAATGGATTACAAGATTCGCCTATTGGGTCTGATGATGATTGGAGTGTCCAATCGAAATCGATCACCACTTACCATCTTTTGTATATTTACCGTCTTGTGAGTAACAGTATAAGCGTAAATATATGTTTTAAGTGTTATAAGACCTATCTTTATTTACTTTCCGTAAATATAAAACTATCAACATAAAACATGTCAAACTCAAAATATAAAATATTAGTGAACCAAGATGAACAAACAGTTCTGTACAACTCTTATTAATGCTATGATAGTTTAATATTCTAATTTAAGATGAAACGCTAAATAGAAGCTATAATTTTAAAAATGATGTAAATTTGCTGAAAGTTTATATGCAACGGATCACACAAAGATAGTGTTGACGACACAAGTAAAAAATTAAGGCAGGAGCCTTAAAAACTTGTCTTTACCAATACTCTCTCTGTTCCTTTTTTCGGGGAATAGGTACTGCTATACAGCAATATAGCAGCATTCTTACCATAAGTACGGTTTCAGGTGCAAGTAGACAAAATGTTGCATATTTTGAGCAATACTGAATGTATTGAAACAGTTGACTTACAGCATTGAAATCAAAACAAATAAAATTTAATCTTGAGTTATTTTTATTATCAGTGAATGGTAATCAATAAAAAGTTTTGCTCACATACTATTTCTTCAGCAACGTTTCTTTGATTTAGGTGGTAAAAGAATATTACTAAGCGTTTGAGCACATCACTTGTATATTTCACTAGAATTGTCTGACTATTTCAATAAAACCTGCTACTGTTGGTTAGCAAATCATTTACAGTAGTTCCAATTTTTAGGTTAAGGAATAAATGTGTGAGTTTCCAGCGGAAGTCAGCAGGTCAACAATTGAATTGGTAATGACAAGATGAACAGCTGGAATTTGAGGCATTACAATTAATTTGACTTCTTACCTCTCAATCCTTGAACCCCGATTGTTCCTTTACTTTATCACACCAGTGCTGTAAAGTAAGAAAAAATGGAGCACAGTGAATCTTTTTAGTTATAAAAATTTGAATTGAAAAGGCTACTTTAAAAACTGAGTTCTTGTGTAGGAATAAATTGGTAGATCCCTCAAGCTATAGGCCAGGATTTCTAAACACTTGATAATGCTTCGTTTTCTTTCCTTACACATATACTAGTTATTTACTGAAAGTAAATTAAAAAATATGTATAATAACACTTGACACATACATACTAACTTGCAAGACGGTAAATATAAATATAAAAGTCAAAAAGTTCCCGGAATGAATTTCTTTAGACACTTAGCACGATCGCCAGCGGCAAATTCGCCTTGCAGTAGTTGGTATGACTCCTGGGGAAGGCATATCGGTAGTGGGGGTATAGCTGACGAGCCATAGTGCAGCATAGGTAAGCGCTCTTCGTGTTCCTGCAAGTCTACATTGTCGGTTACTGTCTGTTGTGTACCTACTTGTAATTCAAGCTTTTACAAAAGAGGTGATGAAGAAAAGTCAAGTTTATGAGTGGCACAAACGGATTCGTGAAAGCATTGACAATGACCCTCGTAGCCTTCAACATCACATCAGTCAATGTGTCAATGACGTAAACATTGAGCGAGTAAGAACAATTTCCATGACATTTGATGTACATTTATCTCATGGATGTGTTCACACACTCCTTCAGGATCATTTGAACATGCATCGAATTTGTTCGTGAATGGTTCCAAAAATGCTGTCTCCTGAACACAAAGAACCTCGAATGTTGATGGCTGGTGATATGGCCAATGCAGGTCAAAACTTTTTGAATTAAATTTTGACTGGTGACAAAACATGTTGTCATCTCTACGACCCTCTACTAAGTTTGTGCCACTCAGTTTGTGGTACACGACCGACAGTAACTGACAAAGTAGACTTGCAGGTACACGAAAAGCGCTTACCAATGCTGCACTACGGCTTGTCAGCTATAGCCCAACTACTGATATGCCCTCCCCAGGAGTCGTACTATCTACTGCAAAGAAAATTTGCCACTGGCGATCGCGCTAAATATCATTACGGGAACTTTTTCTGTAGTAGTATATACAGGGTGTTTTTTTTTAAAACTTGCATCTTTATTTATGTAAAAACCGCAATAGAAAGAAATATGCAGTTTGCGGGAATCATCTATTGACGTAGGGGACCCAATTTTTTTAAATAGCAAGGTACCCCTTGTGACATATCAAATAAAAGAGCATGAAAAAAGAAAATGTTTGATGAAAAAAATTGAGAATCGGTTCATAAGTTTGTGAGATATTCCTCCCCCCCCTCCCCGGAACTAAATTTTTTTAAATAGTAAGGTACCCCTTGTGACATATCAAATGAAAGAGCATGAGAAAAGAAAATGTTTGGTGTAATTTATTTTTCATTTGATATGTCACAAGGGGTGCTACCTTGCTATTAAAAAAAAAGTTATGGGAAGGGGAAAAGGGGGGGGATTATCTCACTAATTCATGAGCCGATTTTCAATTTTTTTTCACAAAACCTTTTTTTTCATGCTCTTTCATTTGATATGTCACAAGGGGTACCTTGCTATTAAAAAAGAATTATGTTCCGTGGAGGGAGGAGGGGAATATCTCACAAATTTATGAACCGATTTTCAATTTTTTTTCATTTAACATTTTCTTTTTTCATGCTCTTTCATTTGATATATTACATAGAGTACCTTGCTATTTAAAAAAAATTTAGTTGGGGGCAGGGGGGAATGGAAATGTAACTTTGAATTCAAAAAAATTGGGCCCCCTACGTCAATAGATGATTCCCACAAACTGCATATTTCTATCTATTGCGGTTTTTACATAAATAAAGATGCAAGTTAAAAAAAAAACACCCTGTAGATATTTGCGATTGGACATTCCAATCATCATCAGACCCAATTTACGTATTTCTGATTTACTTTCTGTAAATGTTATGTAACATGTACAATGCTGATAAAAAGAAATATTTTATCATAAAGGGTGCGCCAAAAAAACCTGACGGTTTCTGTTTTGTAATAAGTCAGCTGTTATACTAGCTAGAGACCTCATTGTTGTAGTGAACGATTGCTTATGTTATGCCATTTTTAGGTTATGTTTGGTAAAACATCACGTCAAAAGAAAGTTACTGTCTAGTGTGGTGCAGTGTGGTGTGGCACTGTTTGGAGTCATCGGACCATATGTTTTTGAGGACGAAAGTGGGAACACCCCCCTGTCACTGTGAACTCGGAACGCTATTTGGAAATACTGAGGGGGTTTTTGGTTCCACAACTGCGGATGTTATGAGGGATAGACATGACTAACACGTGGTTCCAACAGGACGGCGCAACTTGTCATACAGCCAATTATTCAATGTCAGTTTTGCGTGAACTCTTTGCCGGTAAAGTGATCTCTTGGTTTGGTGATGTGCTGTGGTCAGCTCGATCCCCAGACTTAATTTTGTGTGACTGTTGGCTGTGGGGATACTTAAAAAGCAAAATGTTTGTTTCGAAATTTCAAACCATCCCTGAACTCAAGCAGTGTATCAGGGAAGAGATTGCTTCTATTCATCAGGCGAAGGTGACTGCAAATATGCAAAAAAATGGGATGCCTGTGTTTAGCAGAAGGCGATATAAACTGAGTGATATAATTTTTCATAAATGAAAATGGCATAGTAGTGTGTACAATATAACGTTATTTAATACATGAAATTGTAGTTTGTTCTTGAGTTATTTAGTATTAAAAACCGTCAGGGTATTTCGGCGCACCCTTTACTTGTTCAACAATTTGAATATAAAATACAGTATTAGAAGATGTTACTTCTGCTAAATTACCTTATTATAGTAATAATATGATTTTTTTTTAAACAGGCAAGGACCTGTGATTGTTAAATCAACATTTTAAATACTTTTTCAGCTTCATAAATCTTCAGCTGACCCTGTGAAAGTTTTTTTCAGATAATTCTATTTTATTGTGTTATGTGATTTCTAAAATCTAACGAATTTATAATAATCATATTTAGTAATATTTATTAGTTATTTTAGAATCATTATAGTTATAAATAATTAGTTGTAAATAATTAGTTTTGTACATTTAATTGGAAACATTCAAAAATCACTAGTGAAAAGATGATAGTCCAAAACCAATTGCTGTTCAGAGTAACCACTTTATTAATGAAGATTCATTAATGATAAAAAAAACATATTTTGTAAAATGAATCAATGCTTGTATGTTTCTTTTTTATATTCACTCATTCACTGAGTGTTTTTTATAGAGCTTTTTGTACATATATAAATGTAAGTGTACAAGTCAATCACGTTTTGTAATCACTGTTAGAATCAAACCCTTTGTCTCACTAATCCTCTATTTATATGTCCTGATTAATTTGTTGTGGTGAATGTTAATTAATCTATTGTACATAGCAAAAAGCTTTAATTTAAACATTTGTTTTACAAAATGTTTGACTCAATGGCTATTAAATCTCAAGTTCTTTTTTAATTTCTGCCTTTTTACCCTCCTAAATAAAATATTTATAAAATACTCACCCCCGCCACAGCACAGAAAACGTACTACTATAACCCAGAATGCCAACCGCATGGTAAAAAGCATTAAGTGTTTTGAGAGAGCTTTGCCTGTCAATCCGTAGGCAGCGCCACCAGCGTTGCTATGCTATTGCATGGCAACGCTGGTGGCGCTGCCTACGGATTGACGGCAAAGCTCTCTCAAAACGCTTAATGCTTTTTACCATGCGGTTGGCATTCTGGGTTATAGTAATAAGTTTTCTGTGGCCACAGCAAACCTGCCTGCTAAGTAAATTTCAAATTGATTGGCTCTTTATTACTAAAATATATCTTTTAAAATGTAAGATTTATTTCTTGTTTAAATAAAATTAGGTTTAAGGAATGCCTATGTTTGCTGCCACAGGGAAGCTAATACGGCGTGTTTTTAGTGAACTGCAGA